ATATATATTGGATAGACAGCTCTTTCAGTCCATTGAAGAATCAATGCTATGATTCGATGTTTTGTAAGTGGGTTAGATACCACTAACCGCAACAAATGTGGCCTGATGGACTTTGTACAATATTTCATAATAAGTAGTTTGTGAATGACTGGACAAAAGAGCTGTCTATCCAATAGTCACCCGGTGTTGCAAACAAGGTTATTGTGACGAAAATACATTTCCTGGGTGCAAGTATATGAATGAACGGACAGAAGATTACCGGACACGCATGTCTGACGAGCGACAAGAACTGGTCGAAACCAGCCGTATGCTTTCAGGGAAAATTTGTCCAGTCATTTACATACTACTTATTATGATGTATATATGTTTAGATATTCACACACCTGATGGATGATATAACACAGTTATGGAAACCTTGGTACGTTTTTGATGACCTATATTACTACGTTCATGGGTTTGAATCCCCGCTGCTTTACGTTTGACCAAGGTTCAGTTTTGCTTTGCTCCTTCTCTAAAGTAACGGCCTCGGCAAGCAGTAAACATTGAGGAAGTTTCTCCGTTGACATACACGCTACATAAATTGTTGGTGGAACACTGTGGTCCCCATGAATACCTAGACATAGGTCTATAAAGACGGACAGCACTGCTAATGGATGAAAGTGAACATACTGGTTGCACATCACTGACAACTTCATACGCTATACTTTTCTCCAACCAGTTACAGCATTTTGTGGTGAATCGACACCAATCCGTAGGAAAATATTCACTGTAGCAAATTAATGCTCGAAGTAATTCATATCACATCTTCACTCTATCGATTATCCTATACGTGTTATTCTGCTGCGATGGAATTGGTTGTGATGAGGGTTAAAGAAAATTGGACAGCTGATTCGTCTTTATTTGAACTCGCGAGTTGTGAGTGCTTACCGTGTCTCGGCCGGGACTCAAACTATAAACCCTTTTGTTGAAAGTCGAAAGTTTTACCCCTAACCGATACGATCAACAAAACTTCACGCACTGCTGAAGTATCCCACAAAGTGCAAAACTGCTGTCCAGTGCACTTTTTCGGTCACCGAAAAGAATTCCATCACTACTAAAGAGCACTGAACGTGTGGGGATCTTTCAAGGACTGGCCCTCACACCAGGAACTTTAAAGAGTGCAAAGTTCCTCTAAAATTCTCGTGAAATGATCCCCCCAAAAAACAACTGATTTTCCACGTTATTCTAAAACAGTAACCCTATTACTCCGGATATTCCTTTTCTTGTATTTGGATATTTCCGTTGAATTATATAATAAATTTAACCGTCTATTGTTCCCGCCACTGGTAGGTTGTTACTCTGGATGGATTTGGCCAAAGTGGCTCGACGGTTCCATCTGTGGGATATGTGCACATTAGCCTGTCGGTTTGGTTTACAATACGATACAGATGCGGTATGGTCCGATATCTGGTCGAAAATTGAACGTGGAAAGTGAGTGGGTCGTTTCATGCTTTCTTTGCTCACAATTTTTCGTTCTACACTTCTAGAAAAATGCACTAAGAAAGAGAACATGCACCCCTATGGTCAAAACCCCCATTATTCAGACATGTTGGAAATTTAATAAAGGTATTATTATCATCCAGAGTATTAGGAGAACTGTATCACTTTTCTGAGGACCACATTTTTTCACTTGTGAAAACCTAAACCTTAGGAGCTCGAGCGGTTTCGAGCGGTAAACCACGATAGATCCGAATAGGCTAGGTACTGGGATAAATGACAGAAATAGTCGTTCATCGAATTTCGGTGGTTTCGATGGCATCAAAATACATTTGGGATACTGATTTAAACCACACGCTCTCGATAACCATTCGAATCAGGTGAGCCATTATGTAAAGAAAGTTATTGAAAATCAACCCTCTAGTTAACACCTTTACGTATAAGCCTTCGAAGAAAGAAAAGAATCTGAAAAACGTGTCACAGTAGAGAATAGATTTTCAATGGAATACATATGTAGTAGGTAGAATTCCTTTGGTTGCGTATAACCACAGTCAATGGACTGCATCATGGAGGTTGAACTGGCAGCACTGCCACACATATAGGTAATAAAATCATTGTCGTGTTTTGGGACATCACAACGACCTTCGACTACACCAATTGCCCTTCCCTGCGGACCTGTTTGCAGAGCTACGGGGTATAGGAGACGTACATGTGTCCTGTTTGTACAGGCACTCTACCGTCAGACCCCGGGGAAGGTAAGGTCCTATGGTGAGCACCTATCATCGTTTCTTGTCACCAGTGGGGTACTGTGGCAACCCACTGGCGACTGTAATGATAGGATAATCACGGGCCACTAGTCGAGCGTACAACAGGACAATAGCCCGATTCACGTCCCAAAACAATCAGCGATATCATGCGCAATCCCAAGGAAGTCGAACTTCCCCGCGAAAGTACGATCCCCGGGACTGGACCAAGAACCACCAGGAAGGCAGACCTTTAGGCTAGGTTGTGTATCTGATTCAACACAAAGGCGATTGCAGTGAAAAACTCATTTTGTTTATATTTAATTTTTCGGATGATTATCACTAACCCTGGAAGTTAGCTCAAAAGTAAAAATCTTTGGGAGCATAAACCAATCGGAGCAAACATGGCCGATGGTGCAAAATGAGGCTTTTGGGGGAATTTCATCGAGAGAAACTTCACGAGGCTCGGAAGAACAAATTATTTATCTGTCAACCTTTTCAAGGCGGTGCGATATCTGACCTCTAGAACAATCTATGAACGCATGCAGTGAAGTGGACCTACAACGCAGCTCGATTGTCATTTGGGTTCAGTCTCATCCGTAGTCCGAATCACCCACAAAGATAAGCTGTTCCCACAGGCCAATCCTATGGTTGTCTACTCATTTGCAGTGCAATGTACATTGGCAGTACGATGAGGCTACTATGGATGAAGGAACACTGCCTAAGCTGGTTAAGGCCGGGAGACATGTGGAACATAGGAAGCGCTAGTCTTGGTCACCTAGTAGACACAGGTCATCATCGTATGTTTTCCAACCCCTCAAAGGCAGTGCGCTTACACACTAGCCACCACCGAGGTAATGGACTTCTGTCTTTTCGCACAGAAGCGACTGGTCGAAGCGCTCCACTTCTCCTGACCCCAAATCAGTCATCATCAACATTCCGATAACAATCGATTTCACCCGAACTCAGACACTTAGGACTCACATATGCTCTATCCCCACCCCGAGTGACCTTTCAACTTAGTGCAAAAATGTGTCCCCACTAACGACAAACCCTTAATATGATCGGTACAAGCAAGACTATGAATCATTCGAAATCAACAGTTCACCTTCGGTGGTGTTCTAATATTTTGACTTCCTTTTCCCTGTTTTTCTGTTCATTAAAAAAAATTCATTTCGCACCATCGGGCATGTGGAGAGATTGATCCGTATAGTGTCTATTGGTCTTGGACCCACGTATCACAGTCTACGTTGACTTCACACAGGTCCCCAGCGCGATAATTGGTGGTGGCACCTACCACCCAATCAGGTTTATCGTCACGATAGACGCCAACGTGTACGTTGGAGCCAGGTTTGGAAGTTGTTGGCCCTTGCCCCCTTCCCACCCGACGAACATGGAGGGCAGCAAGTGTGTCTGGTCTCTGGCGTGTGGTCCGGAGCATCACGGGTGGCACGCTTCTCAGGAGCAATTGACGATTGTAGCGCGCGGCAAATGTCATTGATGGATAGCTCGGTCCGTCCGAGCTCCTCGAGCCAATCGATGCCCTGGAGCCTTAAATCTCATTAGTTTACTTAGCAACCGATGTAGATTGTTGCTTGCTGATGCGATACATGGTAATACGGTTACCTGGTGAATTGCAGAGAGCCATCGCAAGCACTAATCGTAGCCAACGACTGGGCTTGTATCACGCACCCAGTGCTGGTTAGGTGTCTTCAGAAATAGGGGTAATATCAGAGATAATGTCCATTTGTAACCACGTTCAACAGTATGCGATGGTGACAGTTACAAACTTTCAGTGATTGGTGCCGTTGAATTTTAAAGATGCAGTCAGGCCATAGGAATGGATACCGGAATCAGTCTTGTGTGGCTTGGAGCGGCAGCTTTTGGAGGGCATCGATGGTTTGTGACTGCCAGCGTGCCGGATACTATCCTTTTGACCCGTCTTGTGGCACCACCGGAAGCTGTGGTGTAGGAATGGGCAGTATCAGTGGCAACGTCAAGCCACACAGTGACGATCTAGGGAAGGTGGTCTGCGATGTTGGCATCTTTATTGTTCGGTTATTAACGATTGTCAGTAGTTCGTTGAATTATGGACATTGTGTTGACCGAACGACCAGTGCAGTTGACTCGTTAGATGACACCCAAGTTGTATTTGCGATTTTTGATGCGTTGGCGTTTATCGAACACTTGTTAAAATTAATTTGTAGGATAATATTGAATCACGATCAGGCGCGTTCGGTGATCGGCGTAGCATCGTGCCAGGAGACCCCAGATAAAATCCAGACAGCGGATGTTTGGTCAATGGATTCACACTGCTGATTAGACCCAACCAGGTTCTAATAGCTGCACAGTGCTTCCTAGCTTTCCAGTTCACACATCTACGCTCTACGCTCGACGAATTCTTTCTATGACATTTAGTAAATAACAACTGTTCGATCTTTCAAACTTTTCCTGAATTCCAGATGACCCAAGGTCACAAATCTGGAACCAACGCACACAGACAGGTCATGAGATCGCGATCGATCACTAAAAGATGATGACTCGAGCTTAGAAGAAGGGGGAACAGTTAATTCTCGAAGATGTACACTCGGTCAATTGATTCACGCGTAGATTGCCCCTCATCGTTCGTCCTGTTCGACTCGATCCTTATCGTTGAAAAGAAATTATCTTACAGTTAAAACTAGTTTATGGACTTTCTTGATTCCCAATGGTCGGATTATATGTTCGGTCTCTAGTCTCAGTCTCTGTAGTAGTATACACGATTTAGATATCCATAAATCATTGGAGTTTCTACTCTAAGCTGCTTAATCTCTCATGAGGAATAGGGAAGGAGGATTAGTTGAGCACAGTATTCAAAAGGAAATCGAACAAACGCCCTGAAGAACCATGTACCGTTTCTTGTTTCACGCGGCCAAAGACCTTCCGGATCATCAAAAACGCTTCCACACTCATGGCAAACCCGTACTGCCACTTTTGCTGACCCGTAAATCTTTGAACGAGCGAGGGTTCTTACTGTGGTGAGGTAATATTTGTTAGCTGGATTCTGTGAACCATTCATCGTTACTGAGCACTTATAGCTATTTACGGGCAGTAGACAGAAGTTAGAGCTTGTTTAATCTTTTCTCTGGCGGCCTGTATGCTAATCCAAGACATCAACGCAGGTCCGACAATCTTCTCTCCTTTGTGCTCCAGGTTTTTATCGGACACCACTCTGCTGAACTTAAATCCTTCGCTTTTACTCAAATTTGATCACATCTTCGGGTTACCCGATAGTACCCGGATGGATCTGCTTCATAAAACGTTGCGCTGAAAAATGTCTTCCCCCTTTACAGATCCGCGAGGCTATGTAAGATCGCATCAGGGGCTTAGATTGTTTCATCCTTTGTTTACCAGTGTGTGATTTTCGTCAATTGATACTGTGCCTCTAACGATTCCCCTGAGTTGACTGCAAGAACTCTGAAATACTGCGTTGTTGTTCAGCTATAATAATTGAAAAGTGTTCCGATCTCCTAAAACTTACTAACTTATCGAACATTTTCATAATTTCGGATTGGTGGTGGCTCGGTAATCACTATTCTAAGAACGACCACGGTGGTATTCCAATCGTGAACCTGAATCGGGAAATGCGACAATGGCAATACGATTGTTCGAGGACAGTTTGCATTTACTACTTGTGAATGTCCTAAGTCAACCATAATTCACCCGGTTTACTTTGTCTGGTAGAAGCGTTGAAGTAAGATTAGATGATTTCAGCAATAAAGATGATCGAATTCAGAGCGCATACTCAGGAAAGTGCAATTTGGAAACATTTCAATTTTTAAACTTGTATTTTCTTATAAAATTCAGTAACTCTTATGAAAATTATTGCATCTTTCGACAGCCCTCGTTACGTTATTTCTTTTGCAGTTGATTTGATAGAGATATCTTATTGCGTTCCGAAAATATGGCCAAAATGGTCATTTTGATTGTTCACTGCTTGAAGATGCTTTCGTGGGGGTCACAGAGATGGAGTATAACCCAAAAGTGTCGAACAAACTGGATGTGAATCTGGTCAACATTGATATGAATATCGATCGACCATGATCTATTGGTGTCCCAGTGCAGCCGCTTGAGGTGTAGCTTATGAATTCTATTGAGGCATCACGTAATGGAGGTAAGCAAGGGCTCAAGCGTTGAACGCGCATGATTCACTGGTATCGGCGGACGGGGACAAACACACAAACACACACAGAGGCGTACGCGTACTATAGTAAGATAAACAACCGATATGTATGTCATGGGAATCGAGGTGTGTGACCGAAGACCGTCTCACAATCGTCCTCCGCACTTCAACGGGAGGTATAGAAATCGGTGCTGCAGGGTGACCATCCAGACATCGCTGGGAGGTTTGTCAGCACAACAACGCAACAACTTGAAATGATCAGAGGACATCTTGAAATGATGCTGAGACAATTTGAAATAATCGCCAGACATCTTGAAATACTGGTCAGACAATTTGAAATGATTCCCGAGCATCTTGAAATGACACTGACACCTTGATATGATATTGGGACAAATTGAATTGCAAAAGGTATGGTCAATAATGAGGATCGAGACCATTGCAAAGGATGGTCAGCCAATAAGCCAACGGGGCATCAGGCCGACGATTGCCGGATACGAACTCCCGAACAATAAAACAAGATCACTAGTCGTTTAATCTGCATAACCGTTCTCTATGTATAGAATTCATCACCCTCTTGCGGGCAAGTATGGTGCCAACGACAGAACAACAATAATAATAATAACAGGGGTTGGGGAGATTGAGATACAGAACAGAGAGAAATGGGGGTTAAACAGTAGCAATGGATGACAGTAAAGGACAAAAATAGCTCATTTTTGTTTTTCTCCGTACACTTTTTGATATTTTTGTGATAGTTTATCTTTTTCTTTACAGAGCAGGGGATTTCAACAGGCAGACCGTAAAGCACTTACATCACTGACCTCTATACTGGCCCATATCTCTTAGCATCTCTAACCAACAACAATGGTCATCCCTTGGGGCTCAACATTAAGGGCGGGCTGCACCAACCGAAGACAAAATCTCTCCATACCTTCTCCCC